AACACGATAAAGTTAGCCGGAAAGCCAAACTGAGAATGATGGGATGAGAAATGGCAGAGTCAGGAGTTGCCAGACAAACGCAGAGGGAGCAGGAGATGAACGTGCCATGTTAATAAAAGTCCCATCACATGGCAGAGCATAAGTAAGGAATATGGGTTAACTTAAAATGTAAGAACTAGTTACTAATAAGCCTGAGCTATTGGCCAAGTATACACAATTAATATAAGCCTCTGTGTGATCATTTGGAAGCAGCTCCTGGGATGGGAAACTCCACCTATAGAAAACAAACCCAGAATTTCAGCATTGCTACAACATAAAAATAAAAATCCGCCATAGATATTAGTGTGTGTATGTGTCTGTCTGCCTATTTTCTGTCTATACAAACTAGGAATAAAATAAGCAATGGAAACAGAGAACATACATGGTAAGTAGTAGGGTAAAGACCATGGCCAGGAATTTAAAGGCAGAGATGAATGGACAGACAGAGAATTTCAGCAAATAAATGGAAAGTAAAGAGCCAGGGAATCAAATAAAACTGCAGTACTAAAAAGCATACCATTTGGAACAAAACGTTGCTAAACTTGGCATAATAGCATTTTGGATACTGCAAAAACAAAGATTCTGAAGAAACTACATAGGAACTGTTCAAACAGAACAAGAAAACAATAGAACAGAGCCTCAGCAGCATGTGGGATATCACGAAATCCAACCTGTGTGGAACAGAACTCCAAGATGGAGAAGAGCCGTCCTGGTAGTAATAAATAATGAGCTGAAGGAAACAATATCCTTTAAAAATAACAGCACAGAGAGAACACTGTCCGACACCAGATAAACTAATGTCCCTAAGTACATTCATTTATTTCCTCATGAGGAGAAAAAAGACATTGAAAAACTTGGTTTTGAAAATCCCAACATCCGACTTGGACCGTGATGGAAAAATGAACCACAAACAACACAATGAAAACCGCATCTAGGCGGATCCCCGTGCAGCTGCTCTACTCCAAATTAAAAATAAAATCTTCAAAGCACCCAGAAGAAAAAGACACATTGCATACAGCAAAGTAGCAATAGAAAAGCCACCGAATTCTCATTAGAAACAACACAAGCCAGGAAACAAGAGAACGGCAGTTTTAAAATACCAAGAGAGAAGCTTTTTGTGTGTGGGGGGGGGGAGGAAATAGTGAAAATTGAACCCAGAGTTTTGCACATGCCAGCAAGCTTCCAAATGAAACCACATCCCTCGACCCTTTGTAATTCTTAGTTCAGATAGGGTTGCATTTTCTGACCTTGGACTTGTATTCCTAATGTCTCAACCTCCCAAGTAGCTGCAATTATAAGCCCATGCCACTAGGTCTAGCTGCACCATTAAATCCGAATTGTAACAAATGAAATTTTTCTTCATAAGTAAAGGTAAAGATATTTGGCTAAAGTGATGACCAGCACACCAAGAAGTATTAAATAAATTCATTCAAGTTAAAAATAAATTGTAGCAAGTGGATGTTCAAATGTGCATGACATAAAGAGTGGGTTGCCTTCTCCTACTTTCATAGCTCCTTGCAGTTCAGTCGACTGCTTTCTTCAGTGGTGTGCCCGTTGACAGGCAGCCTCCAGTCACAACCTCCCATGCACAATCACACTGGTAACCCTCGTTTAACTCAGTGAGCAGCACACACTCAACAATGTGGAAGTAGGAAGGGGCAGGGGGCGGAAGGGCTTCCACGGGAGTAGGGGGGACAAAAGCAGGTAATGGGGGCTCAAAATGGCCAGCGTCATTATATGAATGTCGAAACTGTCAAAGGGTAATATATGTTTTAAAAGAAAAAAAAATCAATCGACTATTTGAGCCATAAATAATAAAATATGCTGTGGGATTTGTAATGTGTGCAAGTAGGCATGTGACACACAAAGGAGAGGAAATAGAGAAATATTCCACATCGTGCATGAAGTAGGATGTGATGGTGGTTGAAGAATATATATTGTATCATTTACAGAAGTTGTTAAGTAAAAAAAAAAAAAATGATGTAAGTCAAAAGAAGGGAAGAATACTTAAATTAAAACGAGGGAAAATAAGAAAAATGGAGAAGACTAGATGGGCCAGTCCAGAAACAAACTGCACCTAGCCATATAAATGAGGGAATAAAACATAAAAGCTCTGAAGCCAACCAAAATGAAGAGAGGGTGTTTCCAGGAAGATGTCTCCAAGTGCAAAGGCACAGGCGGGCTATAAGCGAAGGGATGAGTGAAAGATCTGTAAATCCAGTAACCATACAGGAGCTGTCAGAAGATGGCGGCACTAATGCTGGAGTATTCGCTTCAGTGAAGGAAGAGTTACCAGAGATAAAGAGCTGTACTTGGAGAGAGTAAGTCATGTTTAGAAGTGTGCACACGGTAACAGAACTTCAAAACAGATGCAGCAGTAACTGGCAAACCCTGGGGAAACAGACAAACCTTTCACTGCAGTTGGGCAGCCTGTCTGTCCTCCTCTGTGTTGTTAAAACTATACAGGAAAAACAAAAGTCAGGTGTAGAACCGGGCGCACTACCATCCAGCTTAATCCAGTCAGAGGTTCTGGAATACCAAACCACCATGTATGGAGTTCCCCGCTCTCAGGAGGTAGAAATAGGTGGATCTCTGTGTGTTTGAGGCCGGCCTGGTCTACAGAGTGAGATCCAGGATAGCCAGGGATACACAACACAGTGAAACCCTGTCTCAAAAAAAAAAAAAAGAAAGAAAGAAAGAAAGAAAGAAAGAAAGAAAGAAAGAAAGAAAGAAAGAAAGAAAGAAAGAAAGAAAGAAAGAAAGAAAGAAAAAGAAAAGGAAAGGAAAAAAGTTTCAATTGAATTTAAGGATTGAAATACTGTGAACTATGTTGCCAAGGAAACAGGGAATTAAATTAAAAATAAATAAAAATATATCAAAAAGAAATCTCCACATCTGTGAACTATCAACCATTTATAAATTGTCCTAAGTCAGAGAAGAAGCTGAGCAGTAAGTTTAGACAGTGTTTTAAGAAGTAGCCAGTGTAGCAAATACGGGAAAACACACAGCTTTGATTGCTTGTGCGAGAAGACAAAACCAACACCTTGCCTTGCTCTTGCTTGTGCTCCAGTACTTGATTATTTCTGCGGAAGACATAACACACTTGAGTCGTGGGACACAGAGCAGTCAAGCATTCTCATCCAAAATGTCATACAGACTGGCTACTTTTCCTAGGGCTAGGGGAAGATCAGGGATGGCCAGCCTCTCCATCAGTGACCAGCCTGCCAAGACACGCCCACTGTTAACTGCAGTGACAGAGGTGTCTTAGCAGCACCACCCACCTCCTGACTGGATTCAAGGCCCACTCCACAAGTTCCCTTACCCAGCACACCATTAGTGGGGCCAAGAACCGTGACTAGGCGGGTCATGGGCCCCAGGGGAGAACCGACTGCTATTATTTTGTTAGATTGACTCAGACTTCAACTGACAACTACTGACTTGTCCTTCTACCCATCTAGTACTGCATCTCTCGACCCTCACCAGAAAAGCTTCTTCCTGCAGTGGACGACCATTAACAGAGATGCACAACTGGTCACGGGGCATAGGAGACAGTGGAATAAAACTAAACAGATGGCTTGTACTCTGCATTAAAAAACGAAAACAGAAGCAAGTTAAAATGAAATGAAGATGAAAATAGTTAAGAACTGTGATCAGCTTTAGGAAACAAAAGAAAGGGGGACCCAGAAAATTGGTGAAAGCCACAGTTAAGCTTTGTGTTAATCAGCTTGACAAGCGTCCTACTAGATAGACTGAGACAGAAAAATCTACAAATTATAAACATGAGACTAGAGTGACAACATTAAAAATATAATACTTAGGAATAAACTTGAGCAAAAATATGAAGATGTTTTGTCTAAAAACATGAAACACTACTAGTGATATTAAAGACAGAATTAAAAAACATAAGTTCACAGGTTAAAAGATGCAGATGTCATGCAGATGTGAGGTTCCCAAGTCAAACCTTCCCAAATCTATAGACAATGCCATCCTGATGAAATTCATTGCTAATTCTAAACTTCATGTGGAAGGACAAACAGTCCAGACTTGTCATAGGAGGACAGAATCTGTGGTCTTTCATCAGTTAATTTCAAGACTGACTCTCATCAAAGGTATTGTGAGAATACACAAAACGAGAAAGTGTTAAGAAGACATATATGCACTATACATTAAATGCAGTGTGTGTGTGTGTGTGTGTGTGTGTGTTCTTCCAACTCAATAAAATAAACAACGCAATAAAGTTGGGAGGCAAAGAACTTTCCGAGAAAATTGGCAAAGGCAGGCAGGACAGCAGTCTGTAGAGAAAGTGAAATCGTGCAGCCAGGAAGAAAATCTCCAAATCCTATCAGTATTAGTAGCTATTAGGTTCTAGTTCTGATTCGCTCTCTTCCTCTGTACATGACACAACACCTCACATGTGATGTACAATAGGAGTATTACATCTAAAGTTAAGATAATCAAGAACACAGTATGGCCTAAAAAACCAAGATGGCAGATTCAGAAAACTGCCACGCTCACCAACCACAAGTGCTCACTCTGGCTCACTCTCCTTAACCAGAAGGCCTGGTTTCATTGTTGTTGTTTGTTTGTTTGTGTTTGTTTTTTCCTTCTGTCCACAGTTATTTTTATCCTATGAAATATTTTATAAATTCTTGGAGTGTTTACAATAACTTATATTACCTTTTCATTTTAAGGGATTCTCCCGGTTTGATTTCATAAAGCAATAGCTCTGTGTTCTGCCCAGGGCCTTCCCTAAGCTGTGTGCTCAGAGACCCACCGTCTCTGAAGCAAGGGTTTCCTTCGTTCTGCGGACCTTCTGCCTCAGCTTCTCCACTGTGGGTGTCAGGCATTACTAAAAGATAAGTAACTCAAAGTCTATCTCAGAGCCATCTATCAAACTGGAAAAGAATTTTCATTAGTTAACTCACCATCCCGATGGACTGGAAGGAGCGCGTGCCTCTTACCTTCAGTGTCTTTATGACCAAACACTCATGGAATCCCCAAACGAAGAGCGAGAAGTTCACAGGAAGTGGAAAATACCGCAAAAAAAAGACGCAGGGTTAGATATTGGAGGAATGATGGAAAGACTGGATGCTAGCAAGCAAATGTTTTGAAAACAAAAACATGAATGTGCTCTGATCCACTGCACTGACAAACAAAAGAATATCCCACAACCAGCTCAGAGTAAACACACGGACCCTTCCCAAATGAAAGAGCAACCCGGGCCCCGGGAAGAAGTCACTGAGCTGCTCACAAAGGTCCGTTGAAACCTGGTGCCCACTCCAGTGACTTCTGTAGTAAACATGGATTGTGCTTGGGGACACAGTGGTGAGATCCAGAACTACTGATACAAAACAAAGCTTTTACCTCAAAGGAAATAAGAGATTTATTTTTCTGAGCAAAATTTAAGTGATCCTGGCCTGTGGACACAGATTTAGGTTGCCCTGAATATCATGCCCTAATGTGGAAATGATTTCCTGAACTTCTTATAGTTACAGAAGGAAAGAGTTATAAGTCAAGGCATTTACCAAATACACTGGTCAGGACCATGGGTGGGCATTGTTTCGCAAAGCAGGGAATGTTGCTGGGGGCTTCAGGTGGGCTCTGTTGACATTCTCAGCTTTGGGGTTGGTGGAAGCTAGTGGTCTGCTAGGAATGCATCCAGAGTATTGAATCTTTGTTATTGTTGTTTTTGTTTTTTTTTTTAATCACAGCAGTCCAAAAGCTTAAGAACGGGTTGCTATGAAGGGTCTCACCTGGTAATGGTGAATTTCCATTGGATGTAAAGGGCTGTCCAATGTTGTAACCCTCAGTGTCCTCACAGTGCAATGGGACTCACCAGCAAGGTGTTGGCAGTGCCGCAGCCTCCTAACAGGGACTGCGCATCCGGTGAGAGCTAGTGAAAAACACGGCTCTTTGCTACAAAAGGATCCAAGGCAGCTTGCAGAAACACACAAACTAGGAGAGACTAAACCGACGAGCAAATCTGAGTGGAGAGGAAATAAGGGTAAGAAAACAAGAGAAAGCCATGGGACAGTCAGGACATCAGCACATCTAAGGCATAGCACACCTGAGTTACTACTCACACACCAAAGCTGGCCGCAGGTGTGCCTTACAAACCCTGTGTTAGGTGAGAAAAGAGAGAAGCATGATGTATAACTCATACGACGTGTGAGTTTAGAATAAACAGTTGCTTTTGAGACACACCCTTCCCAGTCATGAGAACAATTTCTCTATAGATCAACATAAGAGAGACTACAAGAGCTTATGTGCACTACAACATCACCTATAGTAGACAGAGTAATGACTGTCGTGGCATAACTATTGACCGTCACATCCCCGAACACACTTGGTAAAAACAATATTCTTTGGGGCTGGAGAGACAGCCCCATGGTTAGGAGCACTTCCTGCTCTTGCACAGGACCAGGATTTGGCTCCCAGCATCCATGCATCAGTGTGAAACTATCCTTAACTCTAGTTTGGGGATCTAACCCCCTCTTCTCACCCCTGTGGGCACTAAGCAGCCGTGTGGTACACATGTAGACAGCAGAAGAGGTGGGACATCCCTCCTGCTTGTCTTCGCTTGGCAGCTCATGCAGCGGCCCATCCGTCAAGAAGCTAAAGGTGGCCTCCAGTCAACAGCCTGCAGGGACTCAACCCATGCCACCTAAACAGTGAGGTGGCTAGAGTGTCAACTAATGTGTTGAGGGAAGCCGGAGAACCATCCTAACCCTGAGGTCCCAGCTAAAGCGACTAGAAAAGAGCTTTAAAGAAAAGGAGTGAAGACGTGAAAGAAACAAGCCTTCCTCAGAGTCATGGGGTTCGGTCCTGATTTAAGGATCCAACAATGAGTTCCCATCGCCCTGAACCAGCCAAGATTTCTCTGTGCACACATTTAATTTTGTAAATTACAGACAGCAAATTATCAGCAGAATTGGGTCTGAGCAGTTCAGTACCTTTCTAACTGAATAGAACTTGGAAAAGTTTTTTAACCCCTAGATGAAGATCTACAAGACTTTAAAAACTGCCAAGGGAGGGAGAATTAGTCTTCCCCGGAGATGAACACCCTAAATGCTTATTGGGCCCCAAGTGGCCAGCCCTCAAACAGTCTACATACAAGCAAAGAAAAAAATCGGTTTAGCGCCTTTGTTCTGCTCTGTTACAAGATATGATTATGTAAGGCAATTTACTGAATTTTCAACTGGAGGTTGTAAAAACTAAATTTAAATCTTCTCAAAATATGTTATGATCTTCCACAAAAAAATGCAAGTGGACTTTTTGGGCCAGTTTAAAATCATCAACATCACCAAGTCACAAAATTACACACAAAATTTCCTCCCACTTGCCCAACTATAACCCTTTCACATGTGAATTTTGTCTTTTGCTCTCAAGAAACAGGTGAGAGAGGAGTAACCATGATCTCCAAACAGTTAATGTGTTACAGTGAATGACCTATTTAGGGAGAGTGTATTCTTTTTTTTTATTTATTTGTTTTGTTTTGTTTTTCGAGACAGGGTTTCTCTGTGTAGCTTTGCGCCTTTCCTGGAACTCACTTGGTAGCCTGGCTCTGCTTCCCGAGCACTGGGATTAAGGTGTGCGCTACCACCGCCCGGCAGAATAGTGTATTCTTAACTCCTTATCCATTGACCTGCAGGCAAATTGGAGTCAGAGGATGAAAACACTTGGTTTTTGGTTTAAGGAGCAGAAGATTTCTAAAGTCAAAAGGACAATTTAAAGGAGAGGTACTGTGGGGAAGTTGTTTTGTTTTTTAACTTGTTTTTTATTGATTTTGTTTCATACAGTATATGTAGAAGAGGAGGCAAAAAGATAGTGAGAGCCAGGGGTGATGAATGATCCCAAGGAAATCGTGTCTTCTTGACACCAGGGCGCTGATGCTCATATGAACACAGCAGTAAGCGTGACATCATGCACAAGGCCTGTGCAGGGGTGTGTAGCTTGAGTTTTCCTGCCTTGCCCACAGTCAGGACAAATCTTTGTCACCCGCCAGTCCCACAGCCGCTCAGACCCAAACAAGTAAACACAGAGACTTATATTGCTTACAAACTGTATGGCCGTGGCAGGCTTCTTGCTAACTGTTCTTATAGCTTAAATTAATCCATTTCCATAAATCTATACCTTGCCACGTGGCTGGTGGCTTACTGGTGTCTTCACATGCTGCTGGTCATGGTGGCGGCTGCAGTGTCTCTCCGGGTCAGCCTTCCACTTCCCAGAATTCTCCTCTCTCCTTGTCCCACCTACTTCCTGCCTGGCCACTGGCCAACCAGTGTTTTATTTATTGACCAATCAGAGCAATTTGACATACAGACTGTCCCACAGCAGGGGTGGTTGTTTTTAAGTCGTACAGTTAGATCAGTATAATACATAGTTTATGAAGCTATTGGCGGCAGATAAAGTTCTTCCCGTGTAAGAACTGCCTGGACTGCATTCTGTCCACCACCGACCCATCCGCCCGTGCTCTGGATCACCACCAGGAGCTTCGGGGCTACAACGGCAGGCAATGCTGCCATCTTCTGGCGTTTGTAGAAATTACAACACTGGATCATTCTCAATCAAATGTTACTTAGTTTCAGGATTTGAAGGTTTAATAAAAAATCCTATTTAAAAGAAAGAAAAAGAAATATAGATTCGGATATAGTGGCATACATAGCTAATCCCAGGACTCAGAAGTCTGAGAAGGATAAAGAACTGGAGGCCAGCCTGAGCTACACAGTGGACTTGAAGCCAGCCTGGGAGAGGAAGGGAAGGAGGGAAGGAGGGAGGGAGAAGTGTGGGGGGGGGGGAGTGTCCAATTACACATAATGATATTGTTCATCTTTTAAATCATAATGGTATTGTTAAATTGTAACTGTCTACATTGAACTCTGGAAAGGCTGCAATTTAGGAATTGCTGTTCTCTTTGAGTAAGTTGCATTTTTACCCTCAGATGATACCATCAAACTTCTTACTTTAAGTCAAGAAATCCAGCTTAGTTAATGTGCTTTGCAGTAGAATAGACTCCATACCCTGCGTGGATGCTCCGCCATTCAGACTGGCTGGTGGAGTAAATGGCCGGGCATCGTGGCAGACTTTTAGTAGAAGATGCACTTTTTACTTAATTAATTCAGACCCGGTCATCTTAGGAATGTAAGTAGCAAATTATTAGTACAAAGCTGTTTGCTGCTTCATCACTAATATTATTAATAAAAAATAAAGTCCACAGATGCTCTAGGTTGCCTGTGATGATGTGAAAACACTGAAAGATATCGTTTACTGATGAGCAAATGAAAATGACTCTGTCTGGAACAATAGAAGATGCTTACAGAGCATGGCCAAGAGGCCGAGATGTCTGCCAACGGGAAAATGACGTCAGGGACCTTCTGCGCTGGGGTGAGTGATCTGTGTCCTCCATGGCGCTCTGGTTATTCTCCTCATGTTTGAAAAGCAAAGCAAGCAGACGGTACTCCAGGGAGAAACTCCCAACAGGGCCCCTTAACTGCACTCCCAGTTTTTAGAAAATGGTGGAAATACTTCATTTTTTTCCCCCAAAAGGCAATTATCAACCCAAATGGAAGCCCGTTCTCAGGGGAACAAGGGGGTCTCATGTGGGCTTCTCTTCCGTGTCTTCCTGTTTCTGCCTCTTTTCGCTCCCTGTTCTAGAACTTCCTCATCCTTCCAGGTCCCCTGTCTCCATCCATCTCTCCCCCTGGTAAGGCTGGAGCAGGGAAGGCTGGAGGCAGTGGTTCACCTCCCTTACCTTTGGCCTTACACGGGACAGAGCTGGGGAGGCAGTCCCTGGGGACTCCAGATTTCTTGCACTCCTGCCTTCCCAAGGCACAGAGGAATATAAACCTACGTAGTCTGGCCGGCCAGGGTGGGGGTAGAGCACAGCCCCCGCAGGGAGGAGGTGGGGTGAGACGATAAAGCAATAGTGACCCGCAGTGGTTCACCTTCCCCCAGGCTCACAGGGCCTTCTAACCCACGGGGAACTTCCAGCAGATCTGCAGGTCTGCCCGTTATCAAGGCCGGACCGTGTTACACAAGAGGGCGGCAGCATTACTTCCGGGTCAGTCACACAACGAGGCCTCTGAGCAGCCCCTTCATGTATATTCAGTTGTCTCAAACCGTAGTCAGGATCTGTGCGAAGGCAGCCAGGCTTTCTGACCAGGGGCCCTCTAACCTGAAGACACTTCTCTGGCTGCGATTTCTGTCCAGTGTGTCCTGGTACAAAGGCAGAGGGAAACCTTGTACACAGGTAAATCCTGATTTATCTTGACCACGAAGCCAACGCTGATGGAAAACTGGGGAGAGGAAAACTCAGGGGAGCCCCCCCCTTAACTAAACCTGCCATAGGCATTTTCTCAAAAGGCAAAACATCCTTGTTTGTTTTCTGATGGCTCTGTTGTAATTGTTATCATCTGGGAGCTAATGAGGTGCATGTAGAGATACCAAAAGGCTGCTCTGGTTAACTTCTTGCCAGGGGAATCAAGCCTACCTGTAAAACTGAGGAGCAGGGAGGAGGAGAGGGGTTGGGGGAAGCAGGGATGGGGTCCAATCCATCAAATGAAGTAGGGTCATATTTAGGGTTTTTTCTTCACCTGTACTCAGGCTTAAGAATAGTCAGAAGGTTCCAGAATGGACTATTATAGGGTAGTACAAGCTCTCTACACTGGCTATGTTATACAATGACCTGTACTTTAAACACCATCAAACCCCAAACTAACCCCAGGCTGATTTTAACCCCAGAACTTTATGAATGGAGCCAGAACAGAGGCTTTTTAAAGCCCCTCAGGTGGGCTGCAGGCAGGCCTGGGAGCCACCGTCACTGGATACGTACAGTGGCATGGAAGCGGGTTGTTTACGTCCCCATCTCAAGGAGCCACCGTCACTGGGTACGTACAGTGTCATAAAAGCGGGTTGTTTACGTCCCCATCTCATGTTCCCATGATCACTCATAGCAGCAGGATCCACGGGCTGTGTATGAATTAAAGTTCTGATGAATAATTGCAGTTCTTGATGTCGTAATTTACCAAGTGGTATCAGGCCATGAAACAGTTTAACTTCCTGCAGGGTGGATTACACACTGAGGAATCTTGCTGTGGGATGTTAATGTATGTCCTGTGGGAGCCCTTCTTGGGTTCCTTGTGGCGTTACCCAGCAGGTTTGCATAGAGGATGATTAGGACCATGGGCCTGAGTGCAGGTGTCTGAGATGGTCTGCACTTGGCTGTACTGGGGGATGGTCTGTATGTCAAGTTGCTCTGATTGGTCAATAAATAAAACCTGATTGGTCGTGGCTAGGCAGGAAGTATAGGCGGGACTAACAGAGAGAAGAAATAAAAGAACAGGAAGGCAGAAGGAGACGCTGCCAGCCACTGCCAGGACAAGCAGCATGTGAAGATGCTGGTAAGCCACGAGCCGCCTGGCAAGGTATAGATTTGTAGAAATACGTTACTTTAAGATATAGGAACAGTTAACAGGAGGCCTGCCACGGCCATACAGTTTGTAAGCAATATAAGTCTCTGTGTTTGCTTGGTTGGGTCTGAGCGGCTGTGGGACTGGCGGGTGACAGAGATTTGTCCTGACTGTGGGCAAGGCAGGAAAACTCTAGCTACAGAATCTCTTCTTTGCCCACATTTTTTTTTCCTTTTTGGTTTTTTGAGACAGGGTTTCTCTGTGTAGTTTTGGTGCCTGTCCTGGATCTCGCTCTGTAGACCAGGCTGGCCTCGAATTCACAGAGATCCGCCTGGCTCTGCCTCCCAAGTGCTGGAATTAAAGGCGTGCGCCCGCATTTCCCAAGGCCAACATTTTACCGATTTTAACTGAATTTTGTGTATTTTTAATGTCACATTGATAATTCAGTCTAAAATCAATTTCATCTGAATAATATTAAATAATAAATGAATAAAATTAAAAGCCAGCAAGGTACAATCATTCTAAAGCCCAGTAAATACTTTTCTCTTCAGCTAGTAAAAGACATTCAATATTTGAGTTAAGAAACAGAATATTATGTAATTACAAATACATTCATGTGTTCTCTTACTATATAGATACATGTTATATTCATATTATATATATTATATATGTGTATGTATATATATATATAGAGAGAGAGAGAGGGTGAATATTAACCTGTCTTAATGAGTTTTCAAAACACTGTCACCTATGCCTCAAGCACCTAAGAGGCCCCAGGATGGGACAATTGTCTTTGAAGGAGCTGTGAGTTCACAGGAACTCTGACAATCACTACAAGGAGCCGAGAACCCAGACATACATGTATGAGTGGGCTATAGCAGAATAATTCCAGGTCATGCTCCAGACAACCTAAATTAAAATCTCAAAGGGAAGGACCAGAGAATACACATGTATATTTAGATGTGCATATGCATGTGTGTATATATCCTCAAAGGAACACAGCTTTAATCTTTGCAGGGAAAGATAAAAGGCATCACACCTAAGTCTGCATTCTTTTAGCTCAGTGGTGGGGAAATCCACATGTCCTGCAGTTAGCCAGAAGTGCAGAGGTGAAATGTTTCCCTCCCAGACACAAATGCTTCAGGATTTTGTTTTCCTGGACCTTCTAGAATACGCAGATGAGCCTCTGGAGAATAGTAAGAACTAATACTGATCTCAAACAACCTAAGCTTTTGGTGTGGCCTCATACCAAAGCTAAGAATCAAATCTCCCCTCCTTATCTGTAGCAGGTGTTTTTAGTGAATTATCACAAACACATACATCTTTGTTTTCAGTTATGTGTATGTATGTGGGGGGGTGTATGTGCACATGAGTACAGGTGTGCTTGGAGGCTAAAGGCATAGGGGCACCCTGGAGATGGAGTTACGGACAGTTGTGAGCCACCAAATGTGGGTGCTGGGACCCAACTTCAGGTCCTCTGCATAAGCTGGGTGAGCTCTTAACCAATAAACTGTCTCTCGGGCTCCCCTCAAC